CGCTGCCGTGGCGCGGAGGGGGGCGGCCGCTGAGGTAACGGCCGCCGAGGCAGCGGGCGCGGGGCTGGGGCGCTCCCCTGGGCGCCATCGGTGAGGGAGCCCTTGGCGGGCTCTCCTCCCCACGCCGACGCGTGTAGTGAATAAATACACGCCTTGGATTCGCTAGGGGGTTCGGTTTGGGGCCGACGGTATCCCGGTGAGTATCAGCCCCGTTAACGTGAAGCTTGCTTGCGTCCCTCCGTCTTGACGGTATGCAGGAGTATCGCCGCTCGGTCTCTAGTATTCTCTAGGTGAGCGATCATTCATATTTATGACGAGTCATCTGCCTGAGGATTGGCTGCTGTTGTGCTTCTAGAATATACTTAACCTGGCCCCATACGAGCCTTCAGTCGATTTACCTGGCTAAAGTAGCAGTTCAGTTACAGTCTGTGTTGAGCGTTTTATTATATGCTCTTAAACTGTGTTATTCAGCAGTTATTAATATGCGGAAGTGTCTTATTCTAGTGAAGTTCCTCTGAAGAGAGCTGCTGGAAGTAACGTGTATAGAAAAACTGAGCACACTGAGGTAATAGCACATGAATTGGCTGAAATTCCCTGAAGTTTCTTGATAAGAAAAGAAACTTGATGCATGCCAGTCCAGTTAGTATGAAAATAAAGCTAATGAGGTTTTTCCAGGTAGTTTCTTTTGGGGGCTGTAGCCACAAGTTGAGTACAGTCCCAACATCTTGAGGTGCAATGAAGACAGCTTTACAACATGTAATAGTAAACAGAGTTGTTGGAGTTCATAGAATCATAGAATATCTTGAGTTGGAAGGGACCTGTAAGGATCATGAGTCCAACTCCCTGCTCCTTGCAGGACTACCTCATGTTAGACATGTTTTTGTTCTTTCAGCTCTCTGATGAGGGTACTTCTCGACAGAATATTTTTCTTTCTTTCATACAGGAATGCTAATAAACAAAACCAAAACATTTTCTTATTAAGGAGGGATGACTCTAACCTTTTGGGAAAGTTGTAGTAGGCTTAAGGAAAAAAAGAAAAAGCTGCTTACTTCCTCTGTCATCCTCTTCAGAAAAAGCAATTAATAGAATAAAAACCGTGGGTACCATTGGTGTGGAACAGGGACTCCTCTGACTGGTCATACAATAGTAAAGTAATAGACTACTGTCTGTGGTTAGAAGTTTATGTCTAAAAATTGTCTTGAGTTTTGTTTCGACCAAGTTACTTTAAGACCAAAACTTTTCAGCTCACTTTTTTCCTTTTGAACAGCAGAAGAACATCCTGTTCATGAAGCTTACCAGTGGCCTTTTATTTTTAACTCTTCAGTCTGTGTTTAAACTGCTGTGTGTGCCTAACAAGCAAGAATGCATGTGGTTTGAAACTAGTAGTATTACCACCATTGCTGCTGCAATCTTACACATGCATCACATATGGTAAGATGCTGAAGTGAAAGATGTCTGATTTTGTTAAGAGGATGGAGTGAACAGAAGGTCTGCCTTGGAGTCCCCTCATTAGAGGGGCATATATTTAGGAGGGAGATGAAAATGAGAATCATGTATTGCATGGAAAATATGCTTGCCTTGCCTAATCTGAGACAGCAGCATCATAGCAAAGTAGACAAAGAACATTGATAGGTGGAATGAGCTACTACTTCCTCTGTTGAACTCTGTTCTTAGCTGCCTTTGCTTTTAGTACTTCTTGGGTCAACACAATTAGTAAGAAGTTGAAGAGTCTGGAGCTTGACTTTAAAAAGTTAATTAACTTCTCTGGCAAAAATTTAGTTGTTTGTCAAATTGTTTAGTCAGGTAAACAATTTTGAAACAGTGTAGCTAGAAAATTTTAATGCATAATCCTCACTTTCTCTAAGATTTATAAGTACCTAAATTAATGAATATATTTTAACATTTTTATATTTTTTGCATCATAGCATAGAACATAAGTGTAGGATAGAGGATGAAAATAATTTAAATCTTCAGTGCTTAAATTATTCTTTTATTGCATTATTTGTCAAAGTCTATAGAATCCATAAGCATTGCCAATTATTTGCTGAATCACAAGCAGCTCTGCTGTAATGTATCTCCTCTATCAAGTCATACATGAATATTATCACTACAGAACAGTACAAATATTGAAGTCCTTTTACATTGGTAAGGAGAAACAAAATTTTCCTGTCTAAACACTGATCTTCATGTACATACTTTGTGCAGTTGTCATCTGTGGATATACTAGGAGCTGTATAGAACTGGGTGTTATATTTTCTAACTCTTAAATTCTTGAGGCTTGCTTTTTCTGCTTTACAGTAATACAAAGCAATGTCATTAAAACAAATCTGTGCTTTTTTGCAGTAGTCGCTTTTCATTCTGTAACAGCTGATTTCAGTAATGAAATTGTAGAGTAGTTCAGTTGGAAGGGATCTCTGGAGGCCTCTCTTCCAACCTCCTGCTGAAAAGCTCACTGCATGCTAAATTCAGAAATTGGCTGTGGTGAACATGAGAAACAGTTTTGTGGTTTTTTTTATTTCATAAACAAAAATGCTCTTTGAGTTCAAATAGAATCTTGGACTCCTTTTCCATTAGCTTTTTTTTTTTGATTTATCTGTTACTGTTTTCATCAGTATCACAAAATCTGTAAAAAGATCTAAAACAATTTACCACTTTAAAAGTCTTAACTAGTTACCTGATATTGACTGTTTTCAGGTAGGAGAATATTCTTCAGAAAAAAGATGAAAAATATGTAATTTCTCTTTGGGGTTTTTCTTCTGATATAAAAGTCATGCATTTAGATCAGAACCAGTCCTTGCAATGGGTGACATATCTGTAGCATTTAATAGTAGGCTACTGAATGTAATTTAAAATGGTATTTATACTGAGAATATGGAGGATGTGAAACTTCAGTTAAGGCCTTAAGACAACCGCCCCCCCCCCCCCCCAACCAAAACAGAATCCCCAAAAGAAAAAAACCCCACACATCATGACCCCCCCCCAACCACCCCTGAATTCTTACTTGAAACTGCAGGGTTCGTGGTTTGGTAGCCAAAAAAAAATGTTTAAGTGATAGTATATAGCATAGGTAGTTGTGGTATTGCTTTCTCCATGCTGCTGTCATGGCAGTGCACCCCAAAAGTTCAGTAGAACACTGCTAGTTCAGCTTATGGCCAAACTTATCATAGAATGGTGCCGTTGACTTACTGGCTCTTTGCTAGCCTTGGTACTTTAACACCAAATGGTCTTGTTCCTTGTCATCTGACCACCAAAATTGTGTAGACAATGGCTTTCACCTGCTGAATGTAATGATCTAAATGATATGGCTCCAGAGCCTGGAGACCTTTGAATTATGTTTCTCGTAAGCCCTGCTGAATATATGAGATTTTACCCAAGGCCTGCATTTTCCAGTAGTTGTACTTTGTCCTTTTATGAATAGCTACAGAAAGAAGAGATGGAGAAATAACTAACCTTGTTTCAAGAAGTTAAATTCTTGAGATGGATACTTGTAGATGTGCCTGTGTAGACTGTACTTTTCCAGAAAGAATGGAAGTTTTATCTTAAATACAAACTTGAAGTTTTGTGAGCATTAAAGCATGTATTAAAAGTCTGTTCCTTTCTGGAGATCTTAATATGCAGTCTGCGGTTCAGCAGCAGAATTGGGGGAATACCTGCTTATTTATGTTGAAACTTCACATCACCATTTTGTTTCTACAGCAGTACAATACTGCGCTTTATATTTCTCCTCTTATGGATGTAATAACAGTCTAGAAGGAAAAAATCTGTTTGGTTTTACATCTTTTTTGTGAATAAGTGCTTTCTACTTTGCCCTGTGATGCTTTATTTCTGCCTGTTCATGCTTGTTACATGTGATAATAATTTCGTTCTCATTCTTTTGAACACCTGGAACAATCTGGTGGTTTTGAACACCAGATAAACAATCCTGGTTTTACCTGAACTGGATGAGATGTAAGCTTTTCTTGAGCCATCTGCTTATGAGATGGGAACATACCCATCACATGCCCTTTTCAGGAATCCAATAACCTGATTGTTGCTGATAAGAGTGCTTTTAGGGTAAAGTCTGCCTCAAAGATGCTTCATGTCTCGGTTGAGTTTTCTCTGGTCTTCCTGGACTCACTTGGCTTTGTTTCTACCATGGGCTGCTTTTGGAGACTGCATTTGAGTAACTCAAACTTATTTGTAGCTTTCTGACCTTCACTCTGCATTTCAGTAAACAGTTTCTATTTGTTCCCAAGAGCTACAAAGCCTTGACTTCAAGCTAGATCTCTGACTGGATTGTGGGCTAGTATAAATACCGTTTCTAGAAACGTTTTCAGAATTAGTTTTAGCTTTGCATCACCTCACCTGAAAGTACTTACTGCAATGTGGTAAGTACATATCACAATAATTAAATTTTTGCAGATTACAAGGGTACCGGAATTTTGCTGCTGGATTTTTTTGGTGTGTGTTGCATTGTGTTCTTGACTTCTATTGGTGCTCTCTGTATTTTTTATTTGTTTCCAGAATTTTCTACCTGGTATTCATAACATTCTGTAGATTCTGCCATCATCTTCCACATGGCCTTGAGTTTACTGATTATTTTATCCATGTCATCAGAGTCCATTCTCCGTTCATGCTGCTCAGCTGATGCTTTTGTTATAGAACTCCTGTTTTGCTCTGCTGCATCTCAAGTTATGTTTCAGGCAAGGCATTCTAAGCTGATTCTGTAAATGCTGCAGTAAAGGCATTCTGAATAAAAGAATAACGTGAGTATTACATTCTTTTACTGGTAGAAAACATTAGATGTTTTCTCACAATGGAATATGGAAATTGTCTACTCTGAATAATGTTATTAGAACAGTAAGCAAACCCTTCTGCCTTTTTAAGAAGCAATAACTAAAATGCTCCTGGGTGTAAACAATTACTTAGAGCAGCATGTTACAAATAGATGCTAATAAGAAGTAGAGCTCCTAAATTATCAGTTGAGGGAGTCCAATTTCCTTGTTGTAGATTTCTTTTTATTAACACTAATGAGACTTGTTTTAAGGGGATAATAGACCTGTGCGGCATGACAGAAGCTGTACAGTGCCAAAAGTTTCTTGTTTAACAGCACAAGGAAGTCAAATTCTTACTGTTTCTTTGCATCAGCGCTACTTAATGACTATTTTCTTGTAGTATGACTATTTCTGATGGCCTTAGAGCTTTGTCTTTTTCTAGTACAATTTTGTATGGAGGGAAAGGCAAGCTTCATTAGAGGATCGTTTTATAAGAAGTAGAGAACGGTAGCACAAGTTCCAGTGATTTGAAATAGTGCTGTTGTATGTTGGGAATTACTGCCCATTTTGTTTGCTGCCTTTGCTATTCGATGAAGGCAATAGACTTCTTTCTCTTCAGAGGGGGTAGTGAATTTTATACTGGTTTTGATCCATCTTAGTTCAGCAGAACTTTCACTTTTCTTTTGGCCCTGCAATGACAGGATAAGAGCTTTTTCTAATGCTACATTTCAGAAGTTTTCATTTAAGTATTGCAGACAAGATACTTAATCAACATCTCAACACAAAACAATTCCGCAAAGTGCTCTTTACACTTTTTAATGAGTTAATTCTGGTTTTATGCTAAAATGTATGAGAATCAATACTTCTACATTGATTTGCCATATTAGAGTGTTGTGTCCTGTTCTTGGCTCCCCAGTATAAGATACAGGCTCACTGGAGCAAGTCCAGCAAAGGGCCATGAAGATGACTGAGGGACTAGAGCATCTTTCATATGAGGAGAGGCTCGGACTGTTTGGCCTGGAAAAAAGAGGGCTTGCAGGGATCTTATATATATAAATACCTGATGGGAGGGAATGAAGAAGAGGGAGCTAGACTCTTCTCAGTGCCCAGTGACAGACAAGGCAATGAATGCAAAATAAAACATGTGAAATTTTGTCTGAACACAGGAAAAGCTTTTTTTTGTTTATTTGTTTTTTTGTTACTGTGAAGGTGGTCAAACACTGGAACAGGTTGCCCAGACAGATTGTAGAGTCTCCAGAATTCCTGGAGATCTCACTGGACACAGTCCTGGGCAACTGGCTCTGGTTGGCCCTTCTTGAGCAGGGAGGTTGAACTGGATGATGATAGGAGGTCCCTTCTGATCAAAATAGTTTTGTGGCACTACACTTACAAGGGGGAAGGTTATGAATGGATATGTTATAATATAAACATGTAATTTGTGATTTACAAGCCATACTTGAAATGCATTTAAGTACTGCCTGTTCAAACTAGGTAATGCTGCTCCAGCACATTATCCTTCTCTTGAATATGGTATGTGCATTGTTGCAACAGTATTCTTGTGTCCACAGAGAAAACAGTGTTAGAGTACAGTTGTATTCTTTTTAATGTGAAAACCAGTATCTGTGGTGCTAAATGGTATAGTTTTCTTAGTTGCGCTGATTAACTTTATAACATTTAGTTGCTATGAACACTGTTTAAGGCAAGAGTCTTCATTACTTGTCTCCTTTTCTGGGTTATTAAAATAATAGCTAGTAATAAAATGTGTCCGTAAATTGTGAAGTCTTAATTTTGAGTCGGTCAAGGAGGCTTTGTAAGCAGGTTTATTTGAATTTATGGTTACCCTGTGTGGATGAAAGGTATATGATTTGCTGAATCTACTTCTACAAGATTGAGTATTCATAACTGTTTAAGAAAATGGAATACCTTCATATTCTCTGCTACTCAGGAACTTGAGCTATTTCTTGTTATTTGTGATGACAACTAAAACTTTCCCAGTCCTTTTCTGCAGGAGTTTGTTCACCGCATTACATAGGTTTGCTGAGGAAGGCAAGGCATAATAGCTAAAACACGGCATCTTCCACTGTGAAAGCCCTGTGTCTTCCTAAATGGGGAGACTTGAGCCATCTTCAGATTTTTTTCTTTAGGAATTAAAAAAATTGCTCCTAATGCTTGATTTCTCTAAACCCCTGAGATTTGGAAATAAGCTGTCACTTGCGTTTGAATGATACCACTTTACTTTTCAAAATAAAGGCTACCGCTTGGAGGGGGAGGATGTCGAGGTTTCTGAATTCTGTTTTGCTTTATTTAAAAAAAAAAAAAGCAAAAAAACCCCCCACAAAACAAACAAACCAAAAAATGTAAAACCCACAACAAAAAAAACCAACCCAAACTGTCCAAGGTTTTAAGGAATGATATTGCCTGTAGAGAAGTTTCTCGTTGACATGTATTTTTAATACAAGTATCTTTTCATTAAATATTAAGGTTTAGTATGAGATCTGAAAAGCAACAGACCACTCTATTTGTCAGTATTTTTGTTCTGGGCTTGACTTAGGACTTGAGGGAGGGAGAAGATGTGGGAGGATGTGTGAGTGGACATTAGTAAATGAGTTCATGCTGTTGTCACTGAACACTTAGTATTGTAATTCTGATAAATAGATTTCATTCTTCAGCTGATTTTCTGACTTCTATTACAATTAGGAATTAAAAAAATCTATCCAGGGTCTTCAGGTTACCTTTAAATAAAAGATGCTTGCAGCTTCAAGAACCTGCATAGTTTGAAAAAGTTCTCGTAAATGTGATCAGACCGTACCTCCATTTGTCTTGTGTGTATGGTGGTAGAGTTAACTAAATGAGAATTAATGGTGAAAGCACTTCCTAAAGAAAGGTGTTAAGTTAAACTTGCAGGATGTCCTCCCAAGGGAAAATTGTGTATGTCTAACTGTGTATGTTAACCAACTTGAAGCTACTTCTTGCTGCTCACTTTTCTGTTTTAGTGCAAGGTCCTGAAAGGAGGCTTTGTTCTTTGTGGGAGGGATTATGCTTTTTTAATTAAGTTTTAATTAGGGGTTTGGGGGCAACAGAATGGGAGAAGAGGCATGACTGTAAAGAGCAAGAAAAAAAAATACTTGAATATAAATTATAGTTGCTGTGAGAACCTTGACTTTAAATTGTTTACTACTTATGTTTAAGACTGCAGGAGACTGTTCAGTAGTTACAAAAACATCGATGCTCTTGCTTGTGATGTTGCTTGTCACCTGAAAATGTTAATGGCTTGTCCTTCAGTCACCTACCTAGCAGATTTAATATGGGTAGTGCTTATCTAGCAAGTTCTTAAACATTCAGTGTGAGTTGACAGCGTGGAGAGTTTGAAAGTGCCAAACGTCTGTTTTCTGAGCTGTAAAACTGTCCTGGATTGTACAAGGAGATTAAGAACTGCTGTGTTACTCTTGCAGGCATTGAGTGGGATTTCAAATGCTTGACTACATGCAACTGGGTACATGCAGCCCAGTAACTTAGGATCTAGTCTGCTTGTCAGGTAGCATCTGCAGGAGTTCAGCCTGTATAATGACTATTTTAGGCATCATCATCAAATGTGAAAGGAAAAGCAGTGGTTAAGGAGTGGGTTTTTTTTGGTCCACCCCCATCCTTTCCATAGCTGGGAACTTGTAGTATCCATACCTCCATCATTATTTGAAAGGCAGTGAGTAGATTGTCATTAGATGTAAACATAATGCTTAAAGTAATGCTCTTACTTTTGTAGACAATTACTTGCTTCATCTTCAGTATGTTCAGGCATCAGTGACTAGACCGGTCAAAGTCTAGTAAATGGGAAGGCTTTAAAAATTACATTTATATACAACTTAATGATAAGGACTTAAAATGCTTTTTTTAATCTTTTAAATGGCAAGTACCAGTTATGAAGTAAAACGAGAGGATAGTGGGTCTTGTCAGAAGCTTTTAAATTTGGAATGGTACTTGAGGCTGAAGGCTAGGGTCTTGAATCTTAAGTACTGTCTCAAATTTGCAGAGGAGCCAGAGCAGCTGTAGGAATTGTTTTCAATCAGTAAAACCTGAAGGCTAGTGGGAAGATGATAACCACTGAACTTGAACTGTTTCTGACCTGAATTTTGCTTTTTAAAAGGAGTAGTCTAGAACTTCAGGAGTATCTTTTACTGGTTGTGCAGTGATCAGGAAATATTGAAATTCTGAAGTGCATCAAAATTGTTTTTGTTTTCATGCTACCTGTATTCATGACTGTTTCTATACCTGTTTAGGATTGCTGCCTTGTTGGGGCTTTGATTTCAGCCATTTTAATCTATCAGTTTCAGAGTGGTTATGTGGAAACTCATTGTACAATATTGAGCTCTCAGTTATTGCCTCTTACATGTAGTATTTCTGTAATTCACTATAGCATGTTTTCACATTTTCCTCTTTTTTTTATGTTACTGGTAAAAAATCCTTGCAATTTTCTTAATGATTTTCCTATACCTTAAAGATTTATTTTGTTAATGCTTAATCTAGTAAGCATTTGTGTTTCGTGAACTAAAGAATAACCCCACATTCTTTTCCTGCATGTTGAAAATGTGGATCTGAGTTGCTTACACATTATTTTTACTTTTCAGCTGTTCACCGATGGAATCACCAATAAATTAATTGGCTGCTACGTGGGTGACATAACAGATGATGTTGTTCTAGTTAGGATCTATGGAAATAAGACCGAGCTTTTAGTAGATCGAGATGAGGAAGTGAAGAGTTTCCGTGTGTTGCAGGCCCATGGCTGTGCACCTCAACTATACTGTACTTTCAATAATGGCCTGTGCTACGAGTTCATGCAGGGAGAAGCACTGGATCCAGAGCATGTATGCAATCCAGATATTTTCAGGTAAGGTTTTTAAAATTATTATTTCATTATTCAAGTTCTGTGATGCATTTATAGTATTCTGTCAGGCCCAAAGGATCTCAAGCTTAGTTTATGAGGAGGCAGAAAAGAAATATTTATAAGCCTGCACTAAATTGATGTTCACACTCTTGACAGCATACTGTCCTCTATCTTAGTTATCATGGTATTCCAGTGCTGAACAAATGATCCTTGCTGCCTTCCCAGAAGACTGCTTAGATAGAGGTCTGCTTATTGTGATTATTTAACACTTGCATGTTACCATTAGGGAGATCATTTAACAAAGTGGAGTTGTAAGGGGCTGGACTTGATTAAAACAAGTACTCCTAGCTCTGTTTCTAATACATTCCTTTTGTGAATAGGTTCAAGATAGTCTTCCACTGAGACATAATTTTAGAAACTATTAGCAGTGAACGGAAGGTACTGATGTTTTAATATTTTAGTTTTTCATGTACGTAGTGAAATGCATTTGCCTAACAATGGCAGCTAATATGAGTCAACTCTTCTAAAGATAAGCAAGTTGAAGAGACTGTAAATACAGGTGAAGTATGCATGCTGTAACTGAACTCCAATCCCTCCTGCCTCCCCTCCCTCAAGTAGTGCTGTTAATGACCTTTTGAGTCTTGAAAGATGCTACCCTATAGCTGTGCTGCTCTTGTTTAAACCCTCTTTGGATTCCTTTGCTGCATTTTTTACAATTTTTCTGTTAAATATGTTGTAGTTGTCTTTTTGCTAGGGAAAATACAATAAAGACTTGTCAGATATACATTCAATATAACATTAATTTAAACTATTTTTTTTAGACTCATTGCCAGACAGCTTGCTAAAATCCATACTATTCATGCACACAATGGATGGATCCCTAAATCTAATCTGTGGCTGAAGATGGGGAAATACTTCTCTCTTATACCCACAGAATTTGCAGATGAGGAAGTAAATAAAAGGTAGGTATTTGAATATGTGCTTGCCTGACTTCCCATTCTTTCTGGTTGAGGAGTAGAAGAATATTTAAAAAAACAGGTTTGTGTTACCACATAATGTTAAGTTTGTAAAATTTTGAGTTTTGTCATACTCTTGTATACTGAAGTAGCTGTATATATGTCAAATATGATAAGGAGAGTTTTTAAATTCATTTGGTATATTGTGTATGTGTACATATAGCTCTTGGTTTGACTGGACACTTAAATAATGTTAAAGAATCAAGGTCAAGTCATGTACTTCAGGTAGTTGTCTCAACAATTTTTAAGAGAACCATCAGTCTCAAACTGAGATCTATGTTCTAGGGTGAATACTAGAAGTATGTTTCCTGGGGTTGCAAGAGTACTGCTTGTTGTTCATTCTAACCTGCATGTCTTATCTGTCTTGTATTTGTTCAGTTTATAAATTTGTCTAAAATTGGGTGATGTAAAAGTAAAGTTAATGAAAGGCTGTTTTGGGTGATAGGATGAACTCCCAAAGTGTTTTCCAGAGGAGGAAAAGGTATCCACACAGTCATTCTAGACCTGTGCTATCATGAAGTATGAATAATGGTGTCACCTGGGTTTAAGGGTTTAATTAATTTTTGGTTTTTTTGCATCCCAGTATAGCTCTTGAGTTATAAGTCAAACCATGGTTCTTAGGAGCTTAACAAAATAAGGAAGTATTTCAAAAGGTTCTAGTGTCAGTCGCTGGAAGATTGGGATGAGAGGAACGGCAAAACTAGGAGCAATATTTAACCTAAATAAAATTTCTGTGCTCTAATCTAAATGTAATCATTGTCTTGAGTTGAAGACAGTGTTTCTTGGGGAGTGAAGATCAAACTTTAAGCTAAAACTGTAATTAGGCACTGTTTGTGCAATATCATCAAACTACATACTGCTCAGGAAGCAGATTCCAGCTTAAATTCTTTGTGGAACTTCTTTGAAATCACTGATGCCAGCTGCCCTTCTTGCTGCATTGTAATTAAAGAATGCTCTAGCAAAGTTTGATTTTTTTTTTTTTTTCTTTTTCTTTTCGACAACAAAAAATTCTTAGGAAAACTGAGAACTTGAATAGTTAATTGAAAATCTAGAAGATAAAATGGCTACTTAAGCATATTTACTGTGACTGGAAGTAAAGATGAATGTCTCATTTCCTCTGTATAGATACATATAGTACTTGTTACTTACTGTTGTGTATCCTTGAAGGATGTAACATGAGCAAAAAGTGAATTAAATTCATGCTATAACCCTTTTAATCTTTACTCCTTTAAAAATGTGCAGGAGTGTATGCAAGTTCTACTCCTGATTTTTGGACTACTGTTATGTTTACAGCACAGATAATCTTCAGAAATTTTTTTGGGGGGGGAGGACAGGGAAATAATTGTCATAATTTGACTGCTGTTGTGCCAGGAGAAAGAGTGCCCTGGTTTGGGAGAAGGTCTATTGAATTATTTGCAAGAAGAATGTAGAGGAAAACAAGTAATTCATTACAAATGCTTGGTATGGTACACACAGTACCAAATATTAACTCTCAAATGTCTTATACCTGAAAAGGTTTTTACGTGACATTCCAAGTCCTCAAGTTCTTCAGGAAGAGATGGCCTGGATGAAGGAAAGACTGTCAAATTTAGGATCACCAGTGGTACTTTGTCACAATGACCTGTTGTGTAAAAATATTATTTACAACAAGAAACGAGGTAGGTATTGAACTAAACAGTAAGTAGTGAGTGGCTTTATGCTGTAATTGCATTTGCTACGTCAGTGGTGTCATTTTACTGACTTGTTGAAGTGAACTCAGTTTGAGCTTTTAAGACCCAATGTAATGGTAGTGATATCTGTAGAAATACTAAGTTGTTTAATTAGCTAATTCTCATCTGTATGTTAATGTACAGAGGAAGAATGTTGGTGTTAATTGCTTTTCTTTAATGAATTAATGAATTTGTTAATCCCTAGTCTGCCTGTATGGCTAGGCTTCAAAGTATGTAGTTCATGTTAATTCTATTCCAGTTGTATAAATCTTTTATGAAGAAAAAAATAATCATACAAGCATAGAAAATAACCTGAAGACATTATCTCCTATACATGTATTGTTTTGTTTTGTGATTGGGGGAATACATTTTCATAATGAAGTGTCTTGGTGCTACTTAATGCTACATTCAGTGACTCTGTTTTCTGCATGAGGTACATAGGCATCTTAAAGATTTCTTTTGTAAATACATAGTTTATTTAAACAGTTGTAGGCAGTACATGTTTTAGTAAAGATTAATTACTTTTTGTTTTGATTATAATACATTTAACTCATAATTCATGTTATTAAAGAAAGCCTTGGATTAAAATTTATAAAGCTTCTGTATATACCTGCAGTTTCTTGTATTTCTGTTTTTAGTGGTTTGAGGTTCGGTTACTAAATGAATCAATTAAACAGGATATTAAAACAAAAAAGGCAAACTTCTGACACTAAAGTGGCCATTGTGCAGTAAAAATGCACAACTTTCTTCCCATCTCAAATAATCTGAGCTCAGCTGAGTGCAACAAATTCATCAGATCAGATCAATATTTTCTTTTGAAAGTGAGGATGATACATTCCTTTTAGTAGCTTCATATTTGTTAGTGATAGTTTGATGATGAGACAGTTGGTATGTAAGCCAAAAGTGTGTGAAGTAAATGACTGTGGAACTGAAGTCGCCTCCATCAGTCATCATTGGTCTTTGACCTCTTAAGCTTATGTGCCTCAGGTTCTAAAAAACTAACAGAAACATGGTGGAGTTGGTTCTAGTATGAAAACTGGCTGTGTATGTATAACCAATTTTTGCATCAGATATGCACTGAATGCATGTGAATTGAGAAAATAAAGTCTTTCGGTGGCTTGTATACAAATTTTTCTCTGAGTAATACCACTTTTGCAGGGAATTGCTAGTACTTCTAGTTACATAGGTATATATATACACATATGTATTGTATACCTGTACAATGCTATTAATGTAAATTTTAAATTCTAAGAATTCAGTACCAAACTCCATTGGTTTTACTTCGTTTCAATGATGGGTTATAGTTCTGCTTAAAAAGAGGAGGGAGGGGAAAGCATGGAAGGTATGCAAACAAAAAAATCAGCTTGTGGTCTTGCATGCATTGGAGTTGTGATATTGTAGTATGAAAAATAAATCTTTTTTTACTGTGTGGGTTTTTTCAGTGCTGACACTACCTTGAATTTTAGCATTCCAGAACAGACCCATTGAGGTAAAAGTAATTTTTATAGTCACTTTTCATAGTAGAACCATGCTGCCAAAAAAACGAAGGAATGCCTTTAAAAGGTTCACTATCATGATCAATAGGCTTGAGGTTCCTACTTTTAAAATAAATGCTATATGCTTTTCTTTTTGTAAACAGAATGGAGTAAAAACAATGCCAGCAGTGCATCACTTAGGAGCAATCAATCCTACAATAATGAGTGTGTGAGTGCTTAGTGTTTGGGGACAGGGTGGGGAGGAGGGAGGTATGTAAAGTACTTTGGCTTCAAGCTAGCTGTAAACAGCTGGGGGGGGGAAATAGAGACTTGGAAATATGAAATAAATGTGCAACATTTAAACATAAGTTTAATATGTGTACTGTGTTGTAAAACTTCTGCAAACTGGGTACAGCAGGTACCATTTTCATAGTAACCAAACCTCAATGCCATCTGTAGAAAGAATATTTGTCATTTGAAAGTTGTTTCTTATAGTGTACTTTCTACAGAGCAAAAAAAAAAAATCAATCTGTTAGTACAATCCTAAGATGAGGAACATGATTTTAGAAGTGGAAGATCAGCTTTAACTGTAAATAAACATGTATTGCTGGAATTCTGTTTAGCAGAGCAAAAGCTTTTATTGGTATACAAAAAATTTTGCAAGGGCACAAAATAGAATCTTTAAAGGTTCATTAGGAATGGCAACAAACCGTATGAAGGTAGTTAACAGCTATGGTGATGCTATACTCGTACTAAGTTTAGTCTTCCATCTAGAAAGGCTTCCGTGTAACAAAGACCTTGGTGACCCTAAACTGGAATTAAAAGCGAGAGAATTGGTCTTATAGATTAACTACTTTTTTTCTTTTCAGTAAAGTTTGTGCAAAGTTGGTATTGTTTATCTGGCTTCTCAGAAACTGGCACAAACAAAACAACTCATTGGTTTTAGCAATACTGTATTTGTTGTTTATGAATGCTTAATTTGCACATTTACTAGGCGGGGGGTGTGTGTGTGTATGTGTTTAACCTACAGACTATCAACATGTACTAGGACTCCTATCCAATGCAGTTAGAACGATTATGGCTTGTCCCAGTGCTTTGCTTTAGACTTGTCCTCTGCCTTGAATTTGTGTTTTCAGACTTGGAAGAGAAATCATAGTTGTGCCACATACTGCTTTTAAGAAGAATTGGTCTCATGTCCTTAAATTTTATTTATGAGACTGGAATAGCATATTGAGTGCTAGCTTCATTTAATGGAGTTTCACTCATCTGACCTAAATTTGCTCACGCTGTGGCTGAGAGAACTCTCTCTTGCTGTTTTGTTAATGTCCGTTTTCAGTCACTCAGGATATGAAAATCTGCAAGTGTTACTTTACATAACTTATAATTATCGGTCATCTACTACTTGAAGGATATAAGTGGGAGCTGCATGTTGCTTTTAATTACAATTTGAACATCAAGATAGTCAAAATATGCTTGATGCTTGGTACTGCTTATTTATAGACCTTGTGTTCTGATGCTCTTAGTTTTCTGTGGTTTTTTTTTTTTCCAGCGTGACCTGGGAGTTTCAAAAAATACCTGATGTTTTAAGAGTATTCAAATACTTGCTATTCAGTAAGACCAAGTATCAGTATTCTTTTGTTTGTATCTATATGTGCTCTTTTTGAATGTATTAAAACCACCTGCCAGGAAGTTAAGTGTGTAGGTAGATGGCTAGTTTTGTTCTGTTTATTCCGTCTGCCTACCCAATGTTTTCTATGATCTTTGGTAGGAGTCTGTGGGTGCTCAGTGCTTCTGAAGACTGAGGTATGTTTAAGGCTTCTGGTTTTGATATAAAAACCTATTTTGTTTTGCAAAGCTATATTGGGTACTTGCAGCTAAAATTATTCTTTAGGTATATGACCCATTTGCGAATTTTCAAGTATGTTTGTAGCATAGATCATTGTCTTTACTAAAGCTGTCTTCTAGGGCCTCAGTGGCTTACCTGATGAGCAGGATGGGACAGAACTCAGGATACGTCGTTCTGCTGTGGTAAATACAGCTAGGACTTGCACCTTGAAAGGGCTTACCTTATTAAACCATTAAAAGTGAAGAGCAGCTAGAAAGAGAGGTGTCATCACACTCATACCTTTCAGTTCCCGGAGGAGATCTAGCAGATGCTTTATTGACTACTACTTGATCTATTTAAAAAAAAAAAAAAAATTCTGATGTATGGAACACATGTATTCCATTTTGTATCTTTTTATGGTTTTCGTAGATGACATTGCATATTGCCTACGCTAGGAGATCCCTGGAAGAAGGGAATGTATTTCAACTTGAAATAGTCACTACTCTTGATGTCTCTGTTCCTGTTGATAATAGTAGCTTCTCCAGAGAGATGATAGAGCTTAGTTTTAAATCATGTCTTGCTTCAATAAAATACAAATGTGCTTAGCCTAGTGTCTCTTGTTGTCTGCCTGCTCCCAGTGATATCGGTGGGATGTACCAATTCTTTGTACTTATTAGAAACCTCAAAACAAAAGCTCGCTGCTTAATTACTAATGTAAGCCGTATCTTCTAGAAGTGGCTTTCCTGTACAAACTGCAGTAAGTCTTAAGAGTAACTTCTAATAGTATAGATATTTAAACGATTAATGCAAAGTTTCTTCTGCTTTTTCTAAAACACGGTAGCTGGGACATGTATGTGTTACACATTTGTGAAGTGGCAAACTTAAAGTTTTTGCTTTCTTTCAGTTTCACGGAAAGAACTCTGCATCTTTATTTTGAGCCTTCATGCAAAAATTAAATTTAAGGTTGAGTTCCACAGTAGCATGAGCCTGAAAGATATCAGTAAAAATGCCAGACTTTCTCACTTTGAACTTTTGTCTTATCAAATGTCAGTTTACCAAATTTTCTTCATCTGCTACAGATTATGTATGCCATTGTTGCTGGCTTCTGGTGCCATGCACTGTGCTATTGTGCGCTGACTGAAGGTTTATCGTATCACTTGTTCACATGCATTTCCCCATAGTAGAGTGCCTAGTAACAGCCTCATCCATATCTTGTTAATTGTATGTAATATTACTTATATCTGGAAGCAAGTTTTAAATGTTAGCTGTACTTAAAAATGCATAACAGCACATAGGTATGTTCAAGATGAAATTTGCACATGAAAAATTTTAAGTATTTCTTATGTTATTTTGCAAGCAGACTTTTACCTGCTGTGTTTGTATTTCATGTGAGGGAGGAAGAAAAAAACCACACCTAAGTACAAGCATTATTAAATCTTTGGGGGTGCGGGGGCATTCAGATCAGTTGTGTAGCAGAATATTAACCAGGGTTGGGCTGTGCATTTTGACTGGCTTGTAACTTACAGGTGTCTCCTTTTAAAAAGTGGTGCTAAAGAAGCAGTGGGAAGTACAAATGTATGAATCTGCCAGTCAAGCAGTGGCAAAAGTTAATGTGTGACAATATTATAAGATCTTGGCTGCAGCTGCTGTAAAATTTCTTGTCCCTTCAGAGTTCTAGAGAACCTCAATTTTCGATTGCCAACAAGATTTTCCTGAGAGGAGCTTGCCACTTTTCAGGCCACTTTCATGTTGGTTTGTTAGAGCCTAAAAGGTTTAACCTCATAATCTTGGTAAGCAGTCCTTCCTTTCTGTGAAAGTAAGGGTATACTCTGACTTGGAGGATTGTGACTAAGTGATTTTGTTCACGTTGCGGGGTTTAACTTCCATTATAAGTGTTTAGACAAGAAGATTTTTCCATCTGGAAAACATCAATGTTAGTGTTTCAAATATGGTGAAGATGAACTGCATAGGAAGGAACACTTCTAACGATGTTGTTCTGTGGTAACTTGGTCAGGACATTTATCTGGCAAAACTATTGTATTTGATATGTGTGATGTTCATAATTCTTAAGGATGCAGTATATTAGACACAATCCTTAGTTTAGGAAGTACATAACATACTTTAACATTTTTTATTTACTTTTTTTTGATCTGGAGTTTTGGTAGTTAGCATTAGTATCTGTAAAATGTTTTAAGTCATGCTAAGAAGATTGATTGTTGTAATAGGAGTATGTTTTTATTGAGTTAATATGGAGCTAGTCTTCAAAAGAATGGGTATAGAGAGGGAGAAGAGTACAACTGTCAAAATTGCCCATTTCGGCATACCAGTGGGAAACGTAAGGTTTTACATTTTAATGTTCTAGGGCAAACAGCTCTTAAGTTAATCCATTGCTTCCTTTTCTGATGTTTTTAGTAATTTTGCTGGATTCCCTTAAAATACAAGAGCTCTAGTTATACCTAATCTATCTTGTTAATGTTTTGACTGATGTGGTGTAGACATTATTGAGCAGCTTCAATGCTGTATTACCTTGAGTGAAGCATTTTCCCTAGCTTCACTGTAGGTAAATGTAATTTAGAAACATTTTGGGGCTATATTTACTGCTTTATCAGTCATTGTTTACATAACACTACAGAGTTTCATAGTTTTGAGGACTTGGGGATTGTCTGATGATTTCTTGAGACTAGTTTAATCCAGCTAGAAAAAGCCACAATGAAGAAGTCTTGCTTTGTAAGTGTGGTTGGGGGAAGCAGTATCTATCAACATGTTAAAGGAAATATCAGCATGTTACAATGTGTCAGTCCACTGTGGTTGCACACTTGTGTGAGAATAAACAGGACTGTTTGGTTTTTTTAAGTCCGGGAAAAATGGATCTGCTATTTCTACATAAAATAAAGATCCTCTACTGTATTTCTGATTTTGAAGGTAAGGGATGCCCTCGTGTGGTAGAAGTTAAAATTGAAATTCTGCTATTCAGAGTTTAAAAATAGAGAATTGTAAGCTCTAAGTAATTATCTAAGAGCTTTCTTGAATAATTACTCAAGGGCATCTCGTATAATAAAAATCACAGCCTTACCCTGGAATGTCTGAGTGCACACAACTGGGCACAAGTAAGACAGGTGTGTGGTTTTGTTTTGTTTTCCCCCCAAAACTTCAAAGGACACCAAAGGATTAGGGCTGTGACTTCATTTGATATGGACTCTGATGTTGCTGCTGTTGTGTGTCTCATAGGTGATGTGCAGTTCATAGACTATGAGTACTCTGGATACAACTACCTGGCTTATGACATTGGGAATCACTTCAATGAATTTGCAGGTAAAAATTGGATTTCTGAGGTAAAGGTAAACTGGTTTTATGAAAAGCCTCATTCTTGCATATTCTCTTTGTGTATCTAGATACAGGTATATGGCTGTTTATCTGACGGTATCAAAATATGTTGATGTCTTATCTTGCAGGCCAGTTAATGCCCTTTTTTTGCAGCTCTGCTAACCCAGAAATGGGAACATCATGGCCTAAGTTTTTGTAGAGTTAAATAAATACAGAACTCACAGCTTTCACAGTATCCTTCTGTGAAATGACACAGCAGAGACAGCCCACTATAATTAAACACTGCGGATGTATCTTTTACAGTATAGGTGTATATTGAGAATATGCTGTGTGGTTCCACAGTTCCAAATGGCAGGCTTATGTGGGTTTTTTTGGTGGCTTTGAATGTGTGTGCTAAGTACTTGGCCTTGAGTCATGTCATAAAATGAGAGGTAAAGGGTAAGATATGGGAAAAAGGTGTTTGTAGAGTCATTCATTAACTAGTTCAAACTTTTTCAGTGAATGCCCATTCCATTTACCCTGTAAGACAGAAATAACCTTGAGTGTTTGCTGTGTTATTTCAGATGATGGGGTGACAGGAAAAACCTACACAATGATTAGTACGGACAGAAAGTGCAGTATGGTGAAATTAGGGGCCTTAATCTACCAGTCGTTGTTTCACAAATGGAATGTTAAGTCTAGATATCTTAAAAAAAAAAAATTCAGAGTGTATACTTGATAATTTGTGTACTTGGTAATTTAAGTATTTGGAAAGCAAGTTGAATTCTTTACAAAATGCCTTTGAGACCTTTTGATTTTTCATCTGGGACTTATCAGAGTTTGATGCCATCTTTAAAGAGCTAAGTACAGTAAGAAGACTTAAATGCACAAATACCTTTTTTTTTTCTTTTGCCTATGAAGGACAGTTGTGCTCTCACTCTGCTATTCTCTATCCATCCAGTAAAAATCTGATATTCTTTTTAAAGCTAAATTTGAGTAGATCTGACACAGGAAAGAGTTTAGGTGCTGGGGGGTTGCACAGTTCATAAAATAAGACTTAAGGAGAATTCCCAAGTCCTCTGGTAATGATAGGTAGTGGGAGTGAACTGTGTTTGGGACTCCTGACAGACTCCTTACGGCCTGTGACTAAGCATCCTCCAGCATAGGAAGAAAAATGCGGCAAAAAGAGTGGTTATGGAGATAAGACTTCTAATTCTACTAATACCCTGTGGAGGAGAGAAATAGACTGCTAGTAAATTTTTCTCATATTTGAGCTTAGTTGGTGACGATGTATATGCATCTGGATTCAGCTTTGGATATTGTTGCATAGAAGTCCCTTTTCCTATGAAATGTGTAATATTTGATATGTTTGGGAGGGCTTTTGTTTCATAATGCAAATACTTTTTCTTGAGGCTTCTCTCAAAGAACATGTATGTGGCTGAAAACATATATAGCATAAAACTCTCTGCTACGTTGAAAGCTCTGATTTGTGTGAGAGACATTCTTGCCAACATGTAACTGATAAAGTCAGGTCAAAATAAAAACACTGATATTAATTAGTCCACATCAGTTTGTGCATGTGTGTTGAGGGTGGGGAGGAGGGAAGTAGTCCAGTAATGTGATTCTAATGGTCTTTTTAGACACCAGAAGGTTCTAATAGGTATTTTTTCTTTTTCTAGGAGTAAATGAGGTAGACTACAGCCTTTATCCTAACAGAAAATTACAGGAACAATGGCTGAGATCTTACCTTGAGGCCTACAAAGAATATAAAGGATTTGGCACAGAAGTCAGTGAAAAAGAAGTTGAAGTTCTATATGTCCAAGTCAATCAGTTTGCACTGGTAAATAACAAACACTTGATTAGAATATATTAAAATGCTAAAGAGAAGCCTGCTACTCTATGGACAAATCTAATTGCCAGTTTCTTATTCTGAGCGCTGTGGAATGTAAGAAGATACTTCTTTAACCTGGCCTATGGAAGCTTTCTGCTATGTTGTGTGTTAAAAATTCTCTGTAGAATATTCCTAGTGAAAGAGGCAGTGAGCATTCAGCAAACAAGGAGATGAGCTTTTAGTGAGTATTTCTATTGGCTGCTTATTGGTCTGGCATGTTTTTGAGTTGGCTAGAGCTTATGGTAGGTCTGTGCTATTGTAATGGTAAGGCAGAAGAGCAAGGTAGTGCTTCATGAAGACCTATAAATCTTATGACTTAAAAAGCCTTTTTAAAATAAGATGTTAAAATTTTGTTAGAGTGAAACTAGGATACTTCAGGTTTTTTTAAGAATTGTTTTTAACAGGTAATTGGGTCACTCTAGAGTCTTTCAGTACTACCTTAACTCTTTCCTTGCCTGCAGTGTCTTGGCAAGCAGCAAGTTGCTTTTAGATTTGGGTTTGGTTGGCTTAGTGGTTTAAATGGTAGTGAAGTGCACATGTTAGTCTCATGTGGTTCCCCAGAAGTTCTGCCTTTCTGTAGAGTGTGAGGACTGGCTGTGTTACTCTGCTCCCTGCTCCTCCTGTATCTCATGTGTTACAAGCTGTCTTCTATTTGTCAGTTTGTCTTTTGCAGACTTTGGATGTAAAAGCTTCATTCCCTTGTTCTTTCCCTTTGAAAGGATGGAGTGTGTTCAATTTTGATCTGTGTTTGGTGCCTTGTCCTTCATGGAAAAAAAACCCACATCAAGTGTAATTCATGGAGGTAGAATAAGTCAAATAGGTGTGGCATTGAGTCTTTGAATGTCCCAATTATGTATGCTGTTAGAAGCAGTTTGAAGATGTCATCATCTTTTTTCCAAACTCAATCTCTGTGGGATTTCGGAAGATACTTTATACGTTCACATTATTTTTGTTACATTTTCCAACTAGTGCTGATCTTGTTTTGCCTAGAGGATGTGACAGGAATTGCTACAGCAAAAGTGCCTTTACCCAATAGCTAGGTAACTTTTGTTTTGCTTTCTCCTGAAGAATAGCATGCCAAACTATTCATAGGCAGACTAAGGCTAAAAAGCCAGTGGCCTTATTTCAGTCCTCTTTCTAACTAATTCAAGCACACCTACAGTTCACATTCCAGGAAGACAATTATTAAACAAGCCCTTAAAAATACTAGCTTGCTTGTTCTTACTCTTTTAAAAACTTATTATCGACTGTTACTGTTAAATTCAGCTGTCCCATTCATTTAGGAAAGATCTGCAATTAAGTAGGCTGGTGGTCTGTTTTAAAATACATAGCATTTTTTTGTCAGTTTAAACTATGGTCATGCTAATGTTTAAGAGGATAGAGTTCCTGGAGAACAGCTCAAGACTTGACTATAGACCACACATGATGCATAAATACTGCCAAACACTCTTGTGTCAGTTAATGTGGGAAGCTTTGTTAAGAGAAAATACAAACTAAACTTATTGGATGCTGGTGTAAAATGCCAAACTGCTTGCTATCAGGTGAAGTTATTTAAACTGCAGGTACAAGAAAGATTCACGTGTATGTACAATAGTTGCCATTTTAAGGTGTTCTCAGGCATGTGTGCGTGCGTGTGTCTTCTACGCTTTTGGTAAAGTGTTACATGCAAGTTTCGGGAAGCAATTTAGGTAATTACTGTAAGCAGTTATTTACTGAACAGAAGTCTGAAGTATATCACTTGTAACCTGGGTAGTCCAGAAAGGTCTTACACAAGGAGAGTATCAAGCTCATGGCCATTACATGTTATTTGTTCATTTGAAGTATACTAGCAATCATATCATTAATGTAATCCATAGTTTCAATCTGAAACTGAACATGTGCTTCCAGACTACTTATCTGGACTCAGAAGTAAGTTTGGAACAGATGAGAAATTTGTGTAAATGCTGATGAATTAGAGATTCTCTTATATAGCTACAGATCATATCTCTTTGTCCAAGTCAGTAGTGAAAGTGAGTTGTAGTTATAATGGCCTAAGGGTTGTAATCAAAGATTCAAAAGGAATTTTGTATTTGCACTAGAGTTGAATATGTTTAGAATAACAAACTTAGGTAGCATCAGTAGACATGAGATAGTCTTATTTATGTGCATTTTTTAACATGGTGTATATGGTTGTACAACAGTCTACTTAATAGATGGCCTATTTCATAAATGCAACATTATTTTTCTTCCAAGTGACACATGGAGAGTCAGGATTTACTCTTCTAACTGCCAGTAATTAATTCTATAATACTTGTTTATGAGTCTTTTTGGTAAAGAGATATCAAATAACTTTACAAAAAGATTGGGGTTTGAGAGTTCTCTTGTAGGTAACTTTCTGTCTTGATGCAAGAATATGTTTACATGTTAAATATTTTTCTTTCAGGCTTCCCACTTCTTTTGGGGACTGTGGGCTCTAATTCAAGCTAAATATTCCACCATTGACTTCGATTTTCTAGGGTAAGTGTGCTTCCTACATATAATACTTGAGGCTGGAAAGGACCTGTGGGGCCATCTAGTCCAGCACCCCAGCTATCAGAAACTATGAGGTCTGAGCAACAGACCTGATCTATGTGATCATACTATAACTCTTAAAAATTAAGAAAAAACAAGACAGTAAAAGTTGTCTGTCTGTGCTTTTTGTTGCTAAAAGTTCTCTATATTGGTATGTGCCCCTGGGCTAAAACACGTGGCATAACAAGGCAAGGAACATAACTAAAGGAGTAAATGTTTTGGGGCATTGAGTGTGGGGTTTGTTTTTTTGTTGGAGAGACAAAGGCATAAATGCCAAGTTGGTCAGTATGGTGTACTATCTGTCAGATGCAAGACCTACATTTCCAACTCAAGTGTTGCAGTTTAACCCCAGCCAGTGACTAAGCACCATGCAGCTGCTTACTCACTCCCCCCACACCCAGTGGGATGGGGGAGAGAATCGGGGGGGGGGGGAAAGGTAAAACTCATGGGTTGAGATAAGAACAGTTTAACAGAACAGAAAGGAAGAAACCAGTAATGCTAACAACAGGATTGGAATATACAAGTGATGCACAATGCAATTGCTCACCACCTTCTGACCAATGCCCAGTTACTCCTGAGCAGTGATTCCCCCCAGCCCCACTCCGCCCAGTTTATATACTAGACATGATGTTACATGGCCTTTGGCCAGTTTGGGTCAGCTGCCCTGACTGTGTCCCCTCACGACTTCTTGTGCCCCTCCAGCCTTCTTGCTGGCTGGGCATGAGAAGCTGAAAAATCCTTGACTTTAGTCTAAACATTACTTAGCAACAACTGAAAACATCAGTGTTATCAACATTCTTCTCATACTGAACCCAAAACATAGCACTATACCAGCTACTAGGAAGACAATTAACTCTATCCCAGCCAAAACCAGGACAAAGAGTCAGGAATCAGGGCTGTTTTGTACAAAGGGGCTTGTTTACTATTTGTTGCATGGAGTGTTGATCTTGGAAATTCCTAATTTTTTTTTAAAGAGTCTTTGTAAAGCTAATGAATGTTAAGTTCTGTTTCCTGAGATGCTGGCCAATGGTGTATATGTACGTCTTTGGCATTTTTTTAAATGGTCTTTCATGGTGACAAGCAGAGGAATTCATCTTTCTATTGGGGACTGGGCAAGGTGATAAAGTTAATAATTTCATTTGGTAAAAGATCACACTTTAGAATTTTTTGCAGAGACTAAGCCAGTTTACTAGGCTTAGTTGTGTTATTTTTGTAAATGAGACAAATACGAATTTCTTCTTGCATCTAATTATTCTCAAGTAGAAGTACTTGTTAGTAACCACTAGATGGCACAAAAACCCCAAGTTAAAGCACAGGTGGTAGAACCTGAAAACTTGTCAGTTTTGAATAAAATGTCATTCTTGCAATGATCAAGATAGGATTTCTCTGGAATTGTAGCTGTCTGTTGTTGGACACTCTGTTAAGAACTATTAAACACAAAAACACCACCTTTGATAATTCCAGAACAGCATCTGTTTTGCAAACTGTAGCAAGCTGGGAGTGGGGTGGTGGTGCTGAGGAAGTACCATAATATGGTTGCTCTGTTCTTAATTTCTTCCTTTGGCAGCTGCTAAAGGTCAATGTTGGAAACAGTGTACTGGGGTAGGTGGACTTTTGACTAGTCCCACCTAGCGTGGCTGGTTTTGTGTAAGGAGTTATCTGCTCTTAACTTCAAATCTCTCTCTTCCTTTGAATAGGTATGCAATTGTTCGGTTTAACCAGTATTTCAAAATGAAGCTGGAGGTCATGACACTAACTCTTCCTGAGTAATGAAGAGGAAGAAACTTACCAAGTGGATAGACAACGCCTGAATCTTTTCTGAGAACAGATACTGGAAAAAAGCTAAATATTTGTTGAAGTTCTGTAATGCTCACTTGGTGGTTCTTGCTTTATAAATAATGCCTCTAAACAGTCCTTCAATGTTAAATTTAATATAAAGATCATACGTACTGCTGTTGATATAAAACGGATTAGAAACTTGCTAAATCTATAAAAAGTTGTAGAAATGGCAATTTAATCCTTCTCTGTAATTTAACATATGTTGTATGTGAATTATTTATTACAAGTTTAACATGATTCCATTGCTGCTTTCATCATTTTTGTAAAAGTTGGGTGCAGACAGTGAAGTTGTTCCAAAGGATTTGTTTAAACAACTTATTTTATTGCAGTTGCATTAACTTATATTAAAGAAAACATGGTCAGAGAATATTAATGTTTTAGATGTATACAAGCAAAATGAGTGATAATAGACTTGAGAGATCACCGCTGTGGTGTAACCAGGGAAAAAGATTAAGACGATCTTTATTTTTTTCCCTCTTTTTTAAAAACAAAAAAGGTAGCTTTCCATATGATGGTACTTTTCTTTTGTATAAGAATCAACCAGCTTGCTGAAATGATAAATAACATTTTGATTTTTCCTTCTTGATGCGTTAAGCTGTAGAAATGCGAAAGTTCTGTTGGCCATCAGATTCTTTGAGGATATATACCATCATAGTGTTAGATGGACAAGGTACCATCTCTAACTTCTCTGTGGGAAAGCTGCTTGTTTATTAAGTGTACTTTTAAAGCAAAAGAGCCCTATTCAAAAACTATATTCCATTTTGAACCTTGATTCTAAACTTGAACACTATTCTAGTGTCTATATTTGACGTGCTTCAGCAGTATCTAGCGGAATGGACTATTGAACTGAAGATTAGTGAACAGAGATTCTGTTGTACTGGGGAGCAGACACTTAGGTTTACAGTTCGTATATTGTTGACATCTTTCTGCTTTGTCATCTTCTAACCTTGGATTCTAGTCTTAAATGCTTGGTCCTGTAGTTGCAGATTCTGGTATGTCTGGGGTTTTTTGTTTTGTATTTTTGGGTTTTTTTGTTTGTTTTTTCCTGTGGCAGTGAATTACTTTTCAAAGTCTCCAGTTTGAAGGATAATATGGAAAAGTATATGACTTGAACAGTGGGGCTTTGATCGTCACACACGTTTTCTTATTTCTTAAAGCTATGATACCAAGAATGGTCTGGATTACAAAATGTGAATCAAAAAGAAAATGTTTACTTAAACAATGTATAATTTCGTGTGGAAAAGAGGCTTTAAATCTGGAAGGGGGAGGGGGGTGGGTGGGGTGGGAGGAGGAGAAACCCACAACAGACAAATAAAACCCAACAATGCAGTGTGGAGTTGGACAGGCATGTACTCAACTCTGATTATACTCTGAAAAACTTTGCACTTTGGTCACATAAGTGCCCACATGTACAAAGTCTGTGTGTGTGCATATACAGGTGCAAACACAAACTTACCTGAAGAGTAAATATTGTGGGGAGTCTGTTGTACAGGCTCTAGCAAAGATATTTATTCAAAATTGCTTTATGGCACACTGCTGTGTGTATATATGTGTATATGTGTATACACACACGCATACATATATATACATATGTGCTTTACAAAAGCTTGGATTGATTCAGGACAAAGAAAATTGATGTGAATGAAAAATTTTCACATTGAAAGACCATTTTGAATGGCATTCTGTTATTTTACAAAAGCAAGGTTTGGGATTTTTTTCCTCTTGTTTATATTCATATCTTTCCAATTTTTTTTTATTTCCTTCAGTCAAAACCTTAAAAATCCTAATACAAATGAGAGAACTGGGATTTTTTTCTAACTTGAAATTAGGTAACTATTTTCGTTAGCATTTGTTAGCTGGAGGCTACTAAACTGGACAAATTTTCCTGGTAGTTAAATAGAAACAAATAGCTAAAATAGACATTTATGTTTTCCTTTGTAGCAGTTATCAAGGATGTTGCTAGAGCTCATGAAAGCACTGAAGACTTCAATCTTCCGTACTTTCTCCCTGTTGACATTATTGACGTATGTTGAATAATACCTTGCTGTCTTGGTAGTAGTCCCTTTAAGTTCAGCAAGATGTGCTTGGAAGTAAGAGTGATAAAGATTTTTGAACTCTTACTACTATTTTCTTCAAGTGGTGGCTTTATTTCTGGCAGTGTTGCTTTGTATCTGTGAAATATTTGAAAAAGGCTGTGAAGTTCACTTGGTCTTGGGAAATCTAACATTTGACAGATCCTAACTTTTCCAACAGTTGGCAAAACACATTCCCTTTTCAGGTACCAGTACTATTTAAGTTTGGAGTTAGTGTATTTTTTTCAGTAGTATTTTTGTTTGTATAGCTCAAGTAGCAATAACTGTAGGAGCGGAAGCTTGCTTCTGCAGAACCAAAGCTCTTCATGAGTGCAGCTCAATCTCATTCTTGTGGAGTGAAGTTCCACTGAATCCCATAAAAGCACTTTGAAGCAGATAGTAAATACTGCAAGCTTTTCCTGAGCCACTTTGAAGAAGCACAAAGATCATCACAGGTTACAGTGGTTGACTTTGCAGTACTGGTAGAGGCTCTCATTTTGCATGTTGAAGTTGATTTTACACACTGAAATGCTGCTTTGCATCAGCTTTCTTTCAAGACAAGTGCAGATTAAAACAATTCTTGATTAAGTTCTGAGGAAATACTGTAAAACATTTTCCAAAATGAAATGCCAGTTACCTTGAGCCTTGTTCCACATCGTTTGAACCAGTAGCACTCAGATATTCTCACTTGCTAAGGAATATCTACAGATGTGTTAAGCTTGAAGTAGTAGTTTGCAATAGCATTGCAGATTATAAGGTAGCTTGAAACTGTGAATACAGGACCTTCTGAATGTAAATTAGGTACTAGAGCACCGAACTAGAGAACATGTACTTGTTTCAATTAATTTATCTCAGTCTCCTTAATAGAAATGTTAAGATACTTGAAGGAGGACAAAAAATGACTGAGCTCTAGAAACATCCTGTAGTAGTTTTGACTGTGACTTGCCAAGAAGATATTCTTTTGCCTTTATGTTAAGCTAAGGGCATGAATGCCAAAATTAATAATTCTTACTGTAGTTAAACCTATATTGTAAATATGAAGAGAATTATTAGTAAGGGCATTCTTGCATAAATAGCATCAAGTCAATAGACCATAGTGGCCTGGTTGCTTTTGTAAAGCAGAATAGTGTGAATTTTTTTCTTCTCATTTCTGCAGTCAGATCTGGCTAATCCATGCCTAATTTCTTATGTCACCTAAGCATTACAGATTTCTGAATGATAACTAGTCTCTTGTCACATAATTTTAAATTCCTTTGTTTACACTTTTTGATTTGCATTTTAAAAGGACTTACCAAATTTGCATTAACCAGGTCTGACTGTATATGTATATACAACAGTGTAAATAACCATTTGTAAATTAGTGTGAATTGTACTGTATCTTGCATTTATGGACTCGTGTATTGCATTGTATTCTCTCCTATTTTGTAGAAATTTTGATGTAAAGAAGAAATCTTAACTCTGTGTGCGGACTTCTTTTGTTAAATTGACCTGTAACAGAGCATAATAGTTTTTTGTTAAGGTATCCATTTATAGCCTTGAGTGTCTGGTGTCTTTTTTTCCCCTGTAAGCTTTTTTGACATCTTGCCCTTGGGAATGATTCTGGGAATAAAGGAATTCATATGGAACTAAGATCAAGAGAAAGCCTATTCTAATAATAGGGCAAACTGTGTTGGAGGTACATGTAGTACCTGTGGAATAGGGAAAGCTGTTAAAATTGTTTAAACTTCCAAAAATTTCCTATACGTTCTCGAATGCTGGTGACTTCTAAACATAAGCATGTTGAAGTACTCTTAAAGGGTGCGCTCCCATGGTGACAGCAGTTGAGTTAGTTGTGATAGAAGTCCCCCAACTTAATGTTTTTGGTCAATATAGCCTTATAATAGGATTAGTTGCTAACTTGTAAATGTTCATAATAAATGCCCAAATCACTAAAATAGTTCTGCCAGTCATTTTCCTCAACACTAGAACTATTGGTAGCCCCTTTAGACTATTTGAAACTTAACTGAGGTATTTCCCCTGTGTGCCATTCCCTCCCCCTTCTCCCTGTGTCCACAGCCCTACTTCATTAGGGGAAACATGACTATAGAAGTTTCCTTTCCATGCTTAATCATCACTATTTCCTTTTGGACTAAAATTGTATTCTATTTAGTCAGTACATGACTTCTCATCAGAATTTTTTTGTGTAGGAATTCCCTTTCTGAAGAGGCCTTTAATCTTGGAAGCACAGACATAATGAAGCATAGTTTTCCCAAATGCCTGACTGTTTCATTACTGTTGCCTTTCGCTGTCTGTTTTGAACTCCATAGTGTCCTTCAAGCTGTTAGTTTATTCTTGTCACTGCTGCGTTTAATAACTCTGCTGGAAAATACTGGTGTGTAAATCTCATTGTCCGTCTGACAAATTGATCTTGATACAGTTTGTACATCCTGTCAGCTTTACCTGCTCTGGATGAAAGGTATGCATGCTTATCAGTGTTGACATGTTATGTTACTAGGGTCCTGGGAAGTGAGTTTATCAAAGAAGCATTAGTCAAGAGGAGGGATGGGCTCATTGACTATAAGTAAAGGGAAATAATTCACATGGAAACTTGGGCTTTTAATGTAGCAAGGTATTGGATATGCTTATTTACCTGCATGGTTTAAGGACAAGAGTGAATGGTAAAAGGTAAAGTTTGTTTCAAAATGAAGTTCAGATTTTTTAACAGCCTTTGGCAGCTAACAAAAGCTTACAAAAATATTCTTTTGTTACTCCTACCAGCAGAAATCTTAAAACAAATTTAGGTAACTTTCTGATTAAACAGAACTTTGTTCTATAACCCGGGGGAATATAATCTCTTGCTTGGTGTAGTCCTTCCTCTAATTTGCAGAGGAGGTTGACCACATCTTACCTGTCTGTGTTTGAGGTGGCTGTCTATTTTTGCTTTGTTTTAATGTTTTTGTGTTGTTTACTGTGTTCTTGGATGCCTTCTGAGGTGTGCTGTATTACTAAACTACTGGAATTGGCTACCGTCTCCTATCATCTCTTCCACACCTGGCAGGTTGTAATTATAGTCTTAGAACACAAAGCATTTGAGCAAATCTTGAGGTTGTGCAAGGCTGATGTTGAGCAGCCTTGCAGCTGATTCTCCTCCCCCCCCCCCCCCTTTTTTTTTTTTT